CTGGGGCGGGCGGGGGACGGGCACGGGGAGGGGGGGGGTGCCCTGCGGGCCTGGACGGATCCAACTGCTGCCTGGCGGCGCCGCGGAGGCACAGGGGAGTGGGCGGGCTGCGGGGCCCCTCTCTCCATGCTGCTGCCACCCCGGGCTGGGCTGTGGGGAGAGCAGCGGCTCAGAGCCCGCATGGTCCTGGGGGGGCACCTGGCACTGCCGGGGCGCTCGACCCCATGCCTGCAGGACAAAGCGCGAGAGGGAGGGGCAGGCAGCCGGCAGCCCGGGCCCAGCAGTGCATCCCACCACACAGTTGGGATGCAGAGGATCGTTTTGGCTCCCCCTCGATGTCCCCGTCCCAGCCCAGGGCCCCCACACACTGCCTCTGCTCCCTGCACTGATCCTGCCCCACGGTGATACAGCTGGCAGATGCACCAGCCCTGTCCTGCCTGCCCGCGAGCTCCCTGTCCTGCCTTGCCCAGAGGCAGCTGCCTGTTTGCCTGCATCGCCCTCTGCCACCAAATCCCCCCCTCACAAGGGGGACCCGGCACGCGGAGGCACCAGCTGGGAGAGTTACTCCCACACGGGGACGGGGCCGTGGCAGGCAGAGATGCTGCCCACACCCCTGTGTTTGTCTTGGCTGGGCCGGTGCAGCCACGGTCCTGCCAGCATGGCAGTGGGGGACAGATCCTGGCCGAGAGCAGCTGGTGCCCTGGAGAAGTGTCACCCTGGGGTGCCTGGGTGGCTGAGAGGGCAGCGCTGTGGGGCTGCCATGCTGTCCCGGAGCCAGAGCTGCCACGCTGGCCACAGGAGGGGCAGGCAGAGAGCACGGGAGGGGAGCAGTGCGGGGGCAACCCCTCGCAGGGACGGGCAGCAACCACCCTGCTGGGCACCACCAGCTCGGTCGCGGCCACCGGCGCAGCAGGGCAGGACACCACAGGAAAAGCAAGCCCGGTGGGGAGGCACCAGGGGAAGCCCTCGAGGGCTGAGAAGCATCGGGACGGCACACAGCCAGCGTGGTACCAGCCCCAGGGCCGAGGCCGGTGCAGCCATGCAGCTGTGGCCCGGCACCGCTGAGTGGGACAGGGAGCACTACGGTGAGCTGGGCAGCTGGGCCGGAGGAGGCACGGAGCACGTGGAAGAAAAGTCGGTGCCAACACCGTCCTGCAGCCCCACGCTGGGCACAGCTCCCTGGGCAGGGGCCAGGGCAGGCAGCACGATGGGTCGGGGCAGAGCAGCCACGTCACCTACCTCGGTGAGCGGGGCCACAGCTCCCCGGTGGCACGCAGGAGCCGGCAGCAGCACCATGCCCAGCAGCTTTGCCCCACGAGGCGCTGCCAGCCCTGTGTCAGCCCCAAAAGAACGCCCACCACGGAAGGGGCCGGCTGCTGGGGCCGCGGCGCTGCCCCATGGCTGACCCCGGGCCCAGCAGGAGGAAGGAGTGCTGGAGCGCCAGGAGCTGGGCTGGGGAAGAGAAAGGGCGAGCATGCCGGGGCGGCACAGTCCGGGAGGGCTCTGGCTGCCGGCCCTGCCCTGCCTCCACATCCAGCTCCGCACTTTGAACCC